AATCCTGTCATGACAATAATACCTGTTCTTTCCCTTGTCTGTTTAAATGCAGTATACATTATTTATCCCATCTTTCTCAGTCTTTCCCCAAACCCTGTGTCAGTCCTGTTTTACAACTATCTCACCCAAATTTAAAAACCATCTTAGGAACAACAGGTGTGAGGCATTGAACATCGATGACTGAAGACTAGATCAAATTATGGGGTAACATCAAGGATATCCACCAAGAAGAAAGCAAAAGATCACTATAAAGACAGAAGAGAAAGAAAAAACCAAAACGGATGTCAGAAGAGACTCTGGAAACTGCATCGAGAAGCCAAAACGAAGGGAAAACACGCTGAAGTGAAAGAACTGAAGAGAAGATTTCAAAGGGCAGCTCAGGAAGACAAAGTAAACCATTATAATGGACTGTGTGGACACCTAGAAATTGGAGCAAAATAAAATATTTTTCAACATTTCTGAAATTGAAGGAACTGAAAACTTCAAGCCTTGAGTTGCAATGCTTAGAGATGGCATGGGTAAGATCTTAATGATCCAGGAAACATCAAAAGATCATAGAGAGAACACAGAGTCACTTTATAAAAAGAATTGGCAGAATTTAAAGATTTCAAGACATATAATATGATAAAGAGCCAATGGTAATGAAGGAAGAAGTTCAAGCTGCACTAAAAGTATTGGCAAAAAATAAGGCCCCGGAAATCAACGGGACATCTAGTGACATGAACTGTCAAAAGAACAAACAAGTATGTCTCAGAGAAGGTGCAGCCAGAGTGCTCCTTGGAGGCAAAGATGATAAAGCTTAGCTTCACATACTTTGGGCATGTTGCTAGGAGGGGCTATTCCTTGGAGAGGGACGTGATGCTCGGAAAGGTGGAGGGTCAGCGAAGGAGAGGAAGACCCTCAACCAGGAGGACTGACAAGCTGACTGCTGCAATGGGCTCTAATGTGTCAGAAAGTGGAGGGTGGCGCACTATAGGACAGGGTTCAGGTCTGTTGATGGCGCATAACAACAACAATGACAACAATAGCATAGAGCAGAAGTCCTTCCCTTTACTATTGGACAGAGAAGAACTCATCACTCCTACGATAGGATGGAACAGAACCCATAACCCAGCAACAGCACAGAGCAGCCCAGCCCAGTGTGCACAGTGGGTGCGCGTTGGTCTGCTGAAGGTTGGTGCTTTGAATCTCTCTGAGGAGAAAGATTAGCCATTTCTTCTAGTAAAGTCTCATCACAAAAGGACAAATGCTGTTTAAACAACCATTATACAAACAGAAGTGGTCATGGGGTTGGGTGTGATGGGGAAACAGGCCAATAAGGGATATATAATTCTTGTGTCAGAATAGGTGAAAGGAAGGTCCATCTGACATGAATCAGACTTTATGTATCAATGGTTTAATTAGAGTGGGGATGAAAGAGAAGAAAAAATATCAACAGAGAAGAGGAGTGATGGGGAGCTGTATACTGTAAGAGGGTATATAGCCTTATATAGGCATGTACAGATATATATGATAAGGGTGTGCATAGACATTGCAATACATGAATTGCATCAATCCATGGTAACAAATGCCTATGATTAACTGGTGTGATAAAACCAATGTGGTTTGTAAACTCAGTCAAATGAAATAGATGTTTCAATAAGAAAGACTGGCAGCCCTGCAAGCCTAGGAGGGTGCCTGTCAGCGCCTGCGTGGCTGGGATTGGATGGAGAGGATCCTCCCAGCAGAGCCGTGAGCTGTCCTCCCCAACGGCACCTGGTGGCTGGAACCCTGGCCATCACCTCAGGTTAGCAGTGGCCTTTCTGCAGCTGAGCACTTTGTTTTCTGTTGTGGTCCTGGACCAGAAGCCAGGTGGGAAGCAGGCTGCACCAGGGGATGACGGGTTCCGTCCCTGCTCGCTGCCTGCTGGTACCCAGGGACTTGGCCTCACAGGCTGGATGGAAGTGGCCCAGGCTCCTCAGGAATTCTGCCTACATTCCAGGTTTAATGAAAACACCCAGCTTCATTAAAGTGGATTCCACTGCCCTGTAATCCCAGGGCCAGGAGGACAAGTCCTCCCTTGTCAACTCAGGACAGGCCTCCTCCCCCACAAAATGTCCCCAAAAGTCACCACCTGCTCCTCCTGGAGGGCCAAAGGTCAGCACCCAGGACCGTCCCTGGCCCTCCTCAAGTCCTGTGGTCAACAGAAAGGACCCTGGTACGCTTTGAGACCCAAGGTACGAAAATGTGGGGCAAGTATCAGAGCTGTTGTTGTGAGGGGTCATTAAGTTGACTGACCAGCAGGTCTGCACCCTGCCCTGTACTGGTCCATCCTCACAGTCTCCCGCATGCTCAAGTCCACCGTCCCCGTCACTGCACCAATCCATCTTGTCCAGGGTCATCTTCTCAGTGGACTTCAGCTCTCCCAGGATCAAGTCTTGTCCCAAGGACTGACCTTTTTTGACAATATGCTGAAGTGTGAGAAACCAGGTGTTACCTCCTGCTTCTAAGGAGTGTCCTGGTCACACTTCCTCCAGAACACACTTGCTTGCCCTTATGGCAGTCCCTGGACTCGTCAGTACTGTCCACCACCACCACCGATCAAAGGGATAGGTTCCGACATCATCCTTTTTTATTGTTCAACACTCAGAGGCATAGAAAGTAACTGAATGACCATGGCTTGATTAAAGCTCACCTTACTCTTTAAACTGATGTCTTTGCTCTTCAAGATGTTAGTGACCTTTGGAGAGGTCCTTGACAGCACATTTTCCTGATGCAACACATCTTTTGATCTCTTGACTTTTGCTACTTGTGAGTGCTGACTGTGGATTCAAGTACACTGAAATCTTTGGTAATTTCTATCTTTTCTCATGATTTGGTGAGAGTCTCTGTATAATCCATATTAAAGGCTTTAGTATTTGACCTTCTGTAAGTGCTTCATATGTAAGTGTGAACTATCTGTGACTTTCCAGGTGATGGGCAGCTTGCTACTCATGTAAATAGGGTACCAAGAGTCCTTGTGCGGTGACAGTATACAAATAATGTGCACGGGATGCTAACATGGGCATCCGTCAGCTCTGCAATCCAGCAGGGCTACAATGAGCCCCTGGAGAGAGGGAAAGGGTCAGCACACTGTCACCAAGAAAGAAGGTGCACCCCCCCGACAATGTTGGGGCCTCATATCAAACGCTTACAGAATCCTACAGGGCCTCCACAAGGAAAAGACTGACAACCCAATTACAGAAAGGACAAAAGATATGGAAAGACTTTTCACAGGGGAAGATACTCAAATGACAAACAGACACATGAAGAAATGCTTAAAATCACTGGCAGTAAGAGATACAAATCAAAATGACAATGAGATACTATCTTACTCCAGATGCAGTGGCAAAGTTTAACAGAACAGCAAGTAGTAAATGTTGGAGAGGATGTGGCAAGGTAGGAATCCTTTTACACTGTTGATGGGATTGTAAAATGGTACAACCCTCTGGAAGGCAATTTGGGGTTTCTTCAAAAAGCTGAACAAAGGAATTCCAAATGACTCAGCTATTCCACTGCTTGGAATATACCTCAAGGAAAAGAGAACTGAGACACAAACAGAGACCTGTATAGCAGGGATTTGTTCATAGCAGCAATAGTCACAATAGTAAGAATGTGCAAACATCCCAGTGTCTACCAACAAACAAATGGATTGAGATATTTTGGTCCATTCACATGATAGAACACTATGCGGCCCTCAGGAGCAATGATTTTGTGAAATATTATATAACATGGGAGAGAACATTATGCTGAGTGAAATAACACAGTCTCATAAGGACAAATACTGCGTAAGACCATTATTGTAAAAACAGAAGGATAACTAGTAAGATGTGTATAAACATCCAAAGGGGGAAGGGGGAGGGAGGAGGAAACAGGGGGGATAAACCTGGGAAGGGTGGGAAATGCCTACGGGGGAAAAAGAGAATTATTTTTCAAAAAGAGTTTTAAAAAAATGAACAAACTATGCATGAATAATTGGATAAATAAGCAAATTGCTTTTTAAACTTTCATGCAAAATACAAAAAAGAAAGAAAGGCAGGTGTGCAGCAGAACCCATCCTTCAGACCCAGGAGTCCTATGTTGAGACTCCAGCCCAGAACGTGGAGAGCCGGGCATCCAAGAGTGAGGTGCTGTGGCAGAGCATGGGCAGCTGCAGGGCAGAGAGGCCACAGAACGTGCCAGCCGAGGGCCTCAGGTCTGGCTGGGCTTGTTAGGGTGTGGGTACTCCTGGGGCAAGTAAAATGGCAGAGATGGGGGAGGCGTGGAGTACAGGCTGCAGGCGGCAGAGGCCAGGGCTGCGTGGCAGAGAGTGGAGAGAGGCCTGTCTGTGGGCAGAGCTGAGAGGAGGCTGCACTGACTGGACACCTGATGCCCGAGTTGTTCTCGGTCTTCACCGTGATCTGTCCTCTCTCTCATTGCACTGAGTCGGAGCTGACCCCTCAGTGGGTTTGCAGAAGCTGTAAGTTGATAGGACATTGCCATTCTCTCCCCTGTGAAGCCGATGGTGGACTTGAACACCAGAAAGGCACCACAGCACAGCTCCCTACACGCTGTGCCAGCAGAGCGCCCCTGTGACCTGATTCCCCTGATAAAGCGGAGTCAAGTCTGTGAGTGGCCTTTGCAGTGGGTTATGGAAGCCGGTAGAGGAGGAGGGTGCTGAGGGGGCGGGGGGTTGCTGGTACCAGCACCGGAAGAAGGACGGAGAGGGGGCCCCTGCCCACTATCCACCATGGCTGATGCTGAAGATGAAGTGAGGGGGCCAGACGCCAGCGTCCTCGGCGCCGCTCACTGTCAGTGTGTGAGCACGCCCAGGTGTGCACGTGTCTCTGTATTCACACGCGCACACTCACTGCACGTCCCACCACACACCTCTGGCGTGTCAGCACACAGCGGATGGAGGCGGGCAGTTGGTGGTCCGTGGCTCTCCCAGCCTCACGGTCCCCACACGTCCGGGCAGTGTGGACACTGGGGAGATTACTTACTTCTTACCACACTGAGGCCGAAGATGTGGGCTTCTCGGATACTCCTCATGTCACACACTTGCTGGAAGAGCTCCCGGCCTGTAGCCTTTACCTGCAGGAGGGCGGGGAGGGTGGCCAGTGGTGTGACCGCTTTGGTGCACCTCTCTGCCCATAGGGTGCCCTCCCGCCTGGCCCCCCTGTGGGCAGGCTGCCAAGACCGAGGCACCAGAGCCACCAGCTCCCTGCGAAAGCCTCAGGCATCGTCCCCAACTCCAGCTAGGTCAGAGGGCTGGGCTGTGGTCAGTGAGGATGGGTTATGGGTCAAGGGGTCAGGCTTTGGTCAATGTGGCTGGGCTGTGGGTCAGGGGTCAGGCTGTGGTCAGTGTGGCTGGGCTGTGGGTCAGGGGTCAGGCTGTGGTCAGTGTGGCTGGGCTGTGGG